CAATGAGAAACTACCAGGAAATTACCAAAATTCACCTTTTCTCATTTTTCTCTCACACCATCTCCAAAACAAATAAATTCCCCTAAAATCTTTTTTTTTTTGTAAAAGAATTTCTAAATCTAGAAATTGATGACCAGATCTGCAAAAGGGGAAGAAGTTGTTGCTTCAAAACCTCAAAGTTTCAAAAGGAGATGAAGGGCAGTGCACAACCAAGAGGAAGAAAGAGGGAGGTCTAAGGATCATGTTCTCTTTTAGATGATTAGCTTGGTGTTTCAGCTTCTTTGATGGATAGTGAGGATTGTTACTAGGTTTAAGTGGAGTGAGAAGGGATGAGATCTAGTATAGGGAATTTAGAAATCATCATCATCGTCAGCATCATCATAGTTGTGGCCTTTGAGGGAAACAAACCTCTTAAAACAAGGAGAAAAATGAAGAATTTTTCACAGGTGGAGAAAAGGGAGAAAATGGGTAATAAGCTACTGTGATGTGCCATTTAATGAGGCCCACTGAATAGGTGGTAGCCATACCATCAAAAGTAAAGCCACTTCATTGAAAAAACACCCACATTAGATTAAAGAAGCCATGTCATGTCCACCTTAACACCCAAGTGCCATGTATTTCCTCAACTGACAAATTTTAATGAGCATATGACCAACATGTGATAGGTTGTTACATTTTTGGGTTTTTAACGAATTATGAATTATGGGGGTGTTGACTAGGAAGGAAATTAGATTAGAATGTTGACCATGGAAAGAAAGAATGTGAAGGAGGCAAATAAGGGGTTTGGCCTTTTAATTACCTTTAAAAATTTGGAAAACTACTTATCCAAGTTATCTTGCAAAAATCTGATGAAAAGGAATGTTGGGCTTATAAGGTTTGACAATTTGAATTATGAAAAGCCTCATAAGTGGTTCCTCTTGCTTTAAATTACCAGTTTCAACACCCTCTTCATTATCATCTAATTTTCCTACATATTTAAGTTCTTTTCCACTCCTCAAAGTGATAGCCTTTAGTAGCTTCCTTGGGGATTCTTTTTAGCACTACATGGCAGACCTCCTTGGACTCTTCTAGTTGGACGCTTCCAGAAACCATATTAGCAATCTATCAAAGTTGAGTTTCTATGTTTCAAACTGCTGCATCTTGATTTTAAAACTTCACTTATTGATTATGAAACCTTGCTTCTATAACATTAACAAACTTTTTCACTAACTCCTCCAAATCTGGTTTCTTTCTTATTGTTTTTGTTGCTAAAAACCTAGTGGTACTCTAGCTTGATTATTACTCCATGAAAATTAAGGATGGCTTTTCCATCCTAGATTGTTGGTATTGGAGTAAAGATTGAAATTAGACCTACCACCAAAAGAGACAAAATTAGCTTGCCCATTAGAAGAAAGAAATGAATTATCTACTTAATGTTCAACACTAGCATGACCAAATTATCCACATAATTCCTAAGAAATATTAGAAGAAACACTCATTGTTGGCACTCTAGAACTATCCAACATTATGTAAGCTAACTCCCTTTTTGGTAGTTCTATCATTACTCCATTAATAGCTATTGGGAGCCATTTCATCCAAAAGATTATAGCTTTTCTTTTGGTGTCTTACTTATAATGGTACCTTATATAGCTACATCAATTATAGAACAGTTAGGAGGAGTTATACTATCATAAAAAGTTTGCACTTGGAAACAAATGAGTAAACCATGGTGTGGACACTTCTTAAGCAATTTTTTAAATCTTTCCCACAACTCATATAATGGCTCATTATCAGATTGAACAAAAGTTGTAACGTCATTTCTCATCTTAGCCGTTTTAGAAGGAGGGGAAATTTTAGGTAAAATTTTTTTTACTAGTGCATCCCATGTGGCAAAAGAACCAGCAAGAAAAAAGTTAAGCCAACTCTTGGCTTTATCATGCAAACAAAATGGGAATAACCTAAGCCTAACAACATCATTATTAACACAATTATGCTTAAAAGTATCACAAATTTCAAGAAAATTAACCATATGAGAATTAGGATCATCACTAGGCAAACCTCTAAATTAGACACTTTGTTGGATCATTTGAATGATAGCTGGTTTGATTTCAAAATTGTTAGCCTAATTCATTGGTCTCCTAATGTTAGATGTTGTTCCTTCAATGGATGGGATGGCATATGATCTAAGAGTGCGTGCATGCTTTTGACCACCACCATCTTTTGCCATGATGTTCTTCTTTTGCTTTCTTAAACACTTTGTAAAAGTTCTCTCTATTTTTTTGTCAAAAGCACAAGATCACCACCACTAGTGTGGGTCATGCTCTAGTAAAATTATAACAAAAAATAAAATAAAATGAAATAAACTAAGATGAATAAAGAATAGAAATTAAGAAACTAACAAAACTATGAAATATGTAAATTAAATATCAATTGCTCAAAAAAAAAAAAACTAAACAAGATTAATAATAAAAACAATTCAATCGAAGGCCAAAGAAAAAAAAATCGAAGGTGAAATTATTAGTCGTAATATGTAGATGACTAGTCCTTGGCAATAGCACCAAAAACTTGATGCATCAAATACACAATACTCTTAAATAAGTGAACCTAATTGATTATGCAATATAATATGAGTAAGATATCATTCTCTTGAAGACTATTCTACACTACCAAGATGATATTAATCTAGCCTAAGTTGAATTAGTCAATTAATTGAATAGAGTTAAACTCCTTAATCTAAAGGAATTTCTAAGTAAAAGGAACTGTGAATGAAAGGAACTATTGCTTAGATTTTATTTAATTCTAAATTAAGCAATTGTATAATTAATCTAATCTAGGTTCAAATAATGATGTTATCACATGAGATGGTAGATTTTCCTAATTAATTAACTAGCTTTTTCAAGTCAACTTAATCCTTCCCCAACCTTTTAAATTAATCATATCTATATTTAATTTAAAACAAACTAGTGAGCTATAATTTTATGCAAACCTCTAGCTTAAAAAAGGGGAGCTCCTAATTTTCTTCTCTTCCTCCACTACCACATGTGACAGTAATTATCTCTCAGTCTTATAGTTTAACACATGGTTTATATTATTATTGGTCTAATTTACGCAATTCTTTCTCAAGTTCATGCATAAATCACTAAGTCAACTGAAATGTGATGAAGCTTTCAAAGTATTAAGTTCAACAACATAAGCTATCATGCAAATAACTAATATGTCTTGCATTAAGCTAAAACCAATTACATAATCCAAGAATTAAAATCCATCTAACTCTAGTTCAAGTAATTTAGCCACACATAATGAAGTTTAAAATAGACATAAAAATTAAAGAGCTAGGAAATCCAACAAAGAAACATTGCAAAATTAACAAGTAAGAATGAGAAAGCAAGGCTGCACTGCTATTTATACTTTTCTTCCTCAATTGTGTGTTATTGTTGCTAACGACTCCACTATCTGCTGATTTCTCAAAGTGTGTCCTAGCAAAGTCGATATATATTATATATCGCTTGCTTGTTTTCATTTTTTACCCCATTGTTCTTCTAGGGCTTTGGAATTTTTAGGCTTAAATTATTGCCAGCCCACAACTTTTAATCCCCTTAATTGAATAAAATGAAAGCCCCTAAGCTCTAGCTCCCTTTGTCAATCTATCTAGGAATTACTATGTCAAAACTGAAACTTTGAACTGGAATTTCAACTTGAATACAATTGAATTGGATTAAGCTTGTAAAAGATGAATTGTAGTTCTATTTCTTAGCTCCAACTTCCTTTTTCAATCTATCTAGCAATAACTATGTCAAACCGAAGCTTTGAATTGGAATTTCAACTTGAATGCGATTAAATTGGGTTGAACTTGTAAAAGATGAATTGTAGGTCTATTTTTTAGCTTTCTAACACGTCAAGAATCACCTCAAGAATCACCTCAATCCAATATTTAACGAATGAATTCCTATTAAGTTTGTTCTTTAATCCTCACCTACAAAACTACGAGATTGATGTAAATTTAGGTGAGACTAAGTTATAAAAAAACACATAAAAATTAATTTCTAAGCCAAAATGGGTACACAAATTTATATAAAAATTAAACTTATCATTGAACCTTATATAGTTTTTAATCAATATTTTCTTGTAAGAAGGCATTGTTTAAATCTAATTGGTGTAAAGGCCAATTGTTTTTTAAAAGCAGTGGTGAGCAATATCCTCACAAATGTTTGTTTGATAATGGGGTTAAAAGTGTTGAATTCATTTGATATTAATCATTAATGAAATCCTTTAGCAATTAATTGAGCTTCATACCTCTAAATACTTTCATCCAATATTATTTTGGGACTTACATCCAATGATATTATTCATGGAGTCTATAGGAACAAAATCCCAAATTTTCTATTGAACTAGGGCATTGAACAGATTGCCTTTTGCTAATTTCGATCATTGGAGGCTTGCCTTTAGTACTAGTAGTAAAAATATATTGATTGTTATGTAATTCACCAATAAAGAATATTTTATCCACAATTTCAAATAATATCATAAATATAAGCTAAGTGTTCCTCCTCTTTCTAATTTAGTTGATCATGTACCTTCAAGATTTTAGTTTCATTTGAAAATGCTTTGTATAGATCTTTTTTACATGGTACCTTATTGAAAAATGTAAAATTTTAATTTTTCATTAATCTTAATTATTTTTTATATACTTTTACTAATTTTAATTAATATATTAATTATTTTTGAGATAGTAAAGACAAAAGACCTACAATAAAGCATAGTACTAACAAAAGAAATATTAGTTAAATTAATCAAATTAAATAGCATCAAATACTATAATTACACTAATTATAAAAAAATAAAGGCATGACAATAGAAAACCAACATTTTAGATATCAAAATATTTTTTTTTTCTTATTTGGAGATACTAATAGTTATATGGATATAGTCATGACAATTAAAGTTTGAGTTAATTGCACAAATAGTTCACACATAGAGAACGAGTCCCTGGGATTCATCTGGTTAAAAACAATCTAGGCTATTTTTGGATCCCTTATTACTTGCCTAAAATCATGCTTTTCGTTCCATTTTATTCACCAAATAAAAAATCCAAAACCCCAAATTTCTTTTTACACAAAGGGAGAAAAATGGAAGATGACACCCATGGAAATGGAAATGTACCCAACAAAGGTAGCCCAGGAAGCCCTTGTGTGAAAAGCATTGGCAATTGTGGTAGTGCCACCACCCATCACCAAAACAACAACAATGGCACTACCTCCATTGTCAACAACAATAATGGCAGTACAAAAGAACAAGACCGTTTCCTTCCAATTGCAAATGTTGGAAGAATAATGAAGAAAGTGATTCCAGGAAATGGAAAAATATCCAAGGATGCCAAGGAAACCGTTCAAGAATGTGTCTCAGAATTCATTAGCTTTGTCACTGGAGAAGCATCAGATAAATGCCAAAGAGAAAAAAGAAAGACCATCAACGGTGATGACATTATATGGGCAATCACAACTCTAGGGTTTGAGGATTATGTGGCTCCACTAAAACTATACCTAAATAAATATAGAGAGATTGAAGGCGAAAAGCTTAGTGTTCCAAAGCAACAACGACCAGAGCAAAGGCAACAACAACAACTTCTTCAACAGCAATCAATAGAACATGAACAAAGCATGTTGTCTTATAATTCTATATGTACTTCAACAAGTCTATTGTCTCAACCACCATCATTTGTGGCTATTGATCATAAGGCATTTTCATTGCCTTTTGCACCAAATTCAATTGAGAAACAATTGCAACAACAAGATCAAATTGATTTTGTGCCACATTGGTAAGAAAACTACACTTTTTTTTTTATAATATTTGTGTCCCCTTTTTCCTCCTTAAATTTTGAATGTAATGCTACTTAATATACAATAATTTGAATGTAATTGTAATCTTATGTGATGCAATGTCATGATGCACATATGCAACCAATCATGGTTAATTAAAACATATAAAGAAATTATTTAAATTCTCAAAAATTTTGAATTATTAATTACTTATAAAAAGATGTTTATTCCAAGATGATGTCATTGGAAAATTGTTTGATTGATTAGCTATCTAGAATTGAAAACCTTGGAAGATTAGCTATCAAGCTTGCCTTTATATATCTTATCTTAAGTTCTCCCGAATACCTTTGGGAGTTGTAGTAGCTGTTGGGATAAGTGCCTTGGTGCATATCTCTGACCATTGTCCTCCAATGAAGCCTCCATGAGTCCAAGCATAGAGCTCTATTGGTGATCCACACATGCACTTGGGGATTCAAAGAATACTAGATCTTCAAGGGTGATAGTAATTAAAAACCTAATTAAGCCTTCTTCTTAGTAGATACTAATTTTAACAGCCTAAAATTTGACAATGTAAATAAGGGATATTATGTTTTCTACATCAATTTATATTAATAGAAATAGGAAGACTTGCTATTGTAATCCAATTAGAATTGCCAAACTTAGTCTTTAGTCAAAGTAGAAAATATGAAAGGAGTAGACTTTCCCCTTTTTCTTTCTTTTTTCTCTCATCCTTCCATCAACGTAGAAAATATGAAAGGAGTAGACTTTCCCCCTAGTCCAAGAGTTTCAACCAAGGCTCTCTTGCCCTTATGTACGATCCAAGCCTTAGCCAAATGGCCTAGGGTTCAACCATAAAGTCCTTTAAGGACTAAATTGCCACTTTTGGATTTTCTTGTCTTTAACTTTGAATAAATCTAAACTTGAATTAATTTAATTAATTCTCTCTACCAATTTAAATTTGAAACTTGATTAATTTATTTCTCTTGTAAAAATTAACATTTGCACATAGATTAATTAATATCCATAAATTTGGATTTATAGAAATCTCAATCCTCATAAGGCATTGAGTATATGACCCTTTAGGTTACTATCATGATAATAATGAGAAATACTAACAGACCAAGAGCGGTATCTAGCAACACATCATGGTCACCCAAAGTGGTAGAAATGTTGATGGCTTCGATGAACCTTTGTATGACCGATGCACATATTTAATTCAATATCATCATCATTAGTATCTCAATCAAGAAAGATTCATGGTATGTATCATCATCCTTGAAGCTTGATATATTTTCTTTGATTCCCAAGATATACATACTTCTTAGATGAAACTTTATTCTTACTATGGCCATGAACTTACAAATAGCCTCATCTCAATCAAAAGATTAGAGATATCTTTTCTCATAAACTCAAAAGGGATGAATCTTATATTGACTCACTTATTACTCTTATGCGATTTGTGATGCACCCAATAACTGTAGTATTGATAACCCTTTAAAAAGTTGTTTTTAATATCAAAGTACATGAGTCCTCACTTAGAGTAATGATAATATCAAGTCTAAGAATGACTTAGATTCACATCATAGTTGAGAAGCTACTAATGATACATACAAATAGAATTCTTACGGTAGGTCAATCTAATGCTCACACTTGCTTTGAGTTACCCACATGTAATACATGACTTCATGAGAAAATGTCCTTTTACCTAGGAAACCATCACGCATGATAGTCTTTACATCATTGATGTAACACCCTATATACTTTAGTGAATAAATTAAAAATTAGAGTCCTTTATTTTAACATTTTAAGGACTAAATTCATTAGAATTGGAATATGTGGACCTAATGTGAAATTATGAGATAGGTGGAGATTATTTAACTAAATTTGTCAAATTTGGAGACATGTGGCAGCTTAACACCCATTTCATCGAGTCTTCTTCTGGAAGACATTAGAAAAGGGAAATCCATTTTTTCTTAAATACTCGAAAACCCCTTTTTGCCTTCAAACTCTCGACTGCCCATTTCCCTTTGCTCTTTTGAACTTCCACCAAGAGGGGAGAGTTTTAAAGATTGTAATAGGGAAACAAACTGTTTAGCAATTTTCTTCTTTGACTTTTGCTGTTAATTTCTACTGTCTTCTTCAATTTAGTGTTTTGATTTCCAAAGGTAAGTATAAGTCTAAAGCTATGAATTTGGGTTAGAGTTTTTGAGGTAGGTTATAGATTTGTTACAATAAACTGAAAATTAGTTTAAATTAGTAAAATTGGACTTTAAATCCTTTGTTTAGAGATTTTGGGTAGTAATTTTACTGTTATTTACTTGTTATGGCTGTTTTTATGTTTCTTTGTACATTTATGTGAACACTTTTGGAAATTTCATGATTAAGCTAAATTGGAGGTGTTGCCCGTGACTAGTGTGCTTAGTTTTGGTTCATTAATTATGCATCAATTTTCATTGTTAAAATAAGAAAATAATTTTGAATTTTGGTGGGTGAAACCGTGAATAAGTATCAGAAATTTATAGTGAATTGCTTTAAATTGCATTTACTTAAGGTTAGATACCCTTTTTGGTCCCTCTACTATTGAGAAAAGCCCTTTTTTGGTCCCTGTATCGAAAAAAACCCCTTTTTAGTCCTTAAATTTTAAAATCCGACCCATTTTTGGTCCTTCCGTTAAATTTTTACTTATCTAACATGTTAATTAACAGAATCATTTACTTATTTTTTATACAATTAATATTATAAATGACGTGGAAATTAGGTGGATAAAATTGTAGAAATTAAGTGGGTAAAATTATAGGTACATGTAAGCATTTTGTGCCACATGTACAAATTAAAAATTTTATTTTTTAATTCATAAATTAAATGAATTTAAATGAAATTAACTATAATTTCTTTATCTTCTTCTTTCTCCTCATCCTCATCATCTCCATTCTCTTTGCCATCCCTCTTCATCATCCATCCCTTTTCATCATCCTTCTTCATCATACCTGTTGGAACCCAGCAACATGGGTTCTACGAAGAACCCAGATTTGGGTTCCGTGGGCAACCCAAAAACTGGATTCCGTGGATTTTGCGCAAAACCCAATTTCTGGGTTCCACACGGTACCCAGATCTAGGCTGGGTTCCTCGTGGAACCCCCTTGCTGGGTTCCTTGATCCCAATTTCAATTTTTGCTACATTGAGGAGTTTCCAGTCATTTGAATCAACGTTGTATCTTTTCTTCTCATTTCGCATAGCTTTAGGCACAGTGAGGCATCAATTTGTTTTATGCTAGATCAGATTTTGATGCTTAGATCTTATATTTTTTATTTTTGTTCAATTTTATTAAAAATGTAACTCGATCTTGTGTGTGATTATTGGTAATTCTACTGCATTATTGGTCTATCTCATTTGTAAAACAATTTTGATGAGACATTAAGAAATTTGAGGATAATTTCTCATTTACTTGGGTTTCACAAGCAACCCAGAAAACTGGGTTCAGGGAACCCAGCAAAAGGGTTCTGTGAGCAACCTAGGATGATGAAGAGGATGACTAACAGGATGCTGATGACATGATGATGCCGAGGATGAGGATGAGGACTAGGATAAGGACGAGGAGAAAGAAGATGATGAAGAAATTAAAATTAATCTTATTTAAATTCATTTAATTCATGAATTAAAATGTAAATTTTTAATTGAGGAGTGCTAATGCACTCGCCTCCTACACTCTTCGACCAACACTTTCATTTTTATTAGGCTTTCAGTACAAGGACTAAAAAGGGACTTTTCCCTATAGTAGAGGGACCAAAAAGGGTATTTAACCTGTCACGCCCTAAAACCCAAATTCAGACATCGTACATGTCACGCCCCAAAACCCGAATTCGAGGCGCGACAGACGCCGTGCACCCGTGAACGGGTCCCACGAATGCACAAGGCTCGGAACTTATCTATTT